CCTCCCCCAACCTATGTCCTTTATGTCATTATTAACATATAGTCATTCATACTCAATTATATGTCTATCATTGTGGACATGGACAATGGCAGAGAGTCCATAATCCTATTGTGAAGATATAATATAAACAGTTTCACTGTAAGTCCATCTTTCCCTGGAAACAGAAATGCATACCACACTACATCCTCACATCTGAATGTTAGTCTCCATTACATAACTACTGTACATTCCCTTAAATGAGAAGTCATGATACAAAATCAACAATTGAAAGAAAAATAGAAATTTACAATGCCAAGAAGTTAAATGACATGTTACTAGATATGACAGGCTCCATTACACAACTACTATACATTCCCTTAAATGAAGAGCCACAAAACAAACTCAACATCCAGGAGAAAAGAGAAATTAACAACACCAAGAAGTTAAACAACATGCTATTAAATGTCTAATGTGTAGCTGAAGAAGTGAAAATCAAGAACCTTCTTGAAGAAAATGATGCCACTGCATGATGTATGAGTCATTGAATGATTTAAACAGAAGAAAGTGTTTTGAAGAGATGAAACCAACAGAAAACAATAAAACCCATGTGATATAGTTTCCGCTGATCTTTGTTGGAGTGTGTCTCCTCCCGACAATAGACAGATGGGTTTTGTTTCTTAATCCAGTCTACTAATCTATGATGCTTGATTAAGCTTAAGCCATTTACATTCAGAATCATTTTAGGAATGGGTTGTTAATTGGTTTAGTCTTCTGTTGTCATTTCACTGGGATGTTCTTCCCATTTGCCTTTGATTTTGATAGGTGCTGTTCCTCTTCTCTGTCAAGAGAATATCTTGAAGTATCATTTGTAGAGCAGGTTTGGAAGAGGCAAATTCTTTCAGCTTTTCTTTACTGTGGAAGAATTTTATTTCATTTTCAAAGACAAAAGAAAGCTTTGCAGGGTATGTTATCCTAGGCCGACAATTTTTTTCTTTTAGAATCTGGAATACGTCACTCCATTCTCTTCTTGCCTGTAGAGTTTCCTGTGAGAGATCTGTGAGCTTGATTGGCATTCCTTTATATGTCAATTGATTTTTTTCACGTGCACATTTAAGGATCTTTTCTTTATGTTCAATTGAAGAGAGCTTGATGATCATGTGTCTTGGTGAAGATCTCTTTTGATCAAGCCTATTGGGAGTTCTGTGTCCCTCCTGGATCTTGTTTCCCAATTCCTTCTCCAGATTAGGGAAATTTTCCTTGATTATTTCATTAAATACATTTGCAAACTCAGCTTCTCTTTCTGCGCCTTCTGGGACTCCCATAACTCTTATATTTGGTCTCTTAATAGTGTCTTTCAATTCTTGAATACTTTTTTTGGTCTGATCCAGCTCTGCTTCCAGCTTTTTGTTTGTTTCCCCCTGGTGACAGGAGATATCTTCCAATTCTGAGATTTTTTCTTCTGCTTGCTTCATTCTATTTTGGAGACTCTCCATTGTACTTGTAATTTGCTCTACTGTGTTCTTAATTTCTGATATTCCAGTCTTGATTTGCTTTACTGCTTCCTTAAATTCTTTGAACTCTTGCATGAGCTTCTCATTTTTGACCAGAATCTTTAAAATGAGTCTTATGGATTCTGTGTCCCCTATTTTCTTAATGTCTTCCTCAGTTAACTCTGAGATTGCCAAAGGGTTTTGCTCCTTTGCAGGGGAGTTTTCAGTAATATTCATTGTGCCTATGTCTCTTCTTTTGCTCTTGATCATTGTACTTCTGATTAGCAGAGTCTTCTTCTTGGGGCAGGTGTCTAAACTGTGTTAACCACAGGTCCACAATGCGATTTTACTTATTGCAGTTGGTACACAACTTTTTGCTTGCAGCCACTTGTGCCACAACCTCCAGCGAGTTCCAGGCCTGGATTCTTATGTCAGATCCAGGATTAGAGACCCCAGGTGTCCTATATAATTAGATTGTTGGTGGCGCTGATCTTGTCAGAACCTGTTGGACGTTAGGTCTGAGTGCCACACGGACCTGTTTTGACTGGTACGATGCCACAGTCGGTATTATTTTCCTGTGGGACCTCAGCGAGTTCTCGCGAGCTCAGCCCATGCGCAGGTCACCGTTGTCCCCTGCAGTCCCAAAGCTATTGCCACAGTGCGCAAAATGGCGCCTGACATGCTGCCACTACAATTCTTGATCTCCTGGCTGTCAGATCCGAGGGCTACTCAGACCTGCCCTGGATAGAACCCGTAGAATGCCACGTTGTTGCAGTTCACCAAGTCAGAAATGAGCTCACTCCCGGCTCAGAGCATGCTCAGTCCTTTCCCTTGCCCTTGCCTCCTTAGGCAAAATGGCGCCTAATTCAGCTCTAGGGGGCTGACTGGGCTATGAAATTCACTCTGTTCTCGCACTATTTGAGATTTACTGCTCTGTCTCTGTTCCTGGTAAAATCAAACAGACCAGCAGGACAGACAGTTCCCTGTCTGGGTGCACCTCCCAAGCTCCCAGTGAAAGTCCCTTCCCACCTGGTTGCTGGTGGAGTTCCAGCTGCTGGTGGAGTTCAGATCGCTGAGCTGGAGTATCATTCACTGCAACACCACACTGCTGTGCCCGCTGCTTTCCTGTGTCTGTCAGTCTCCAGGTACCCCTCTGCTGTTGTTCTGTCCTTTCCTATTTCCTGGAATGTGTCCTCTCTGCTTGATCCTGATTAAATGTTTCTCCGTCCGTTTAAACGTGTCCTTACCCTATTCCGCCATCTTGATTCTCCGAATAACCAACTAATAGATTCTTACGAGAAGTACCTCTTCAAAAGAGTTTTCCATCTTCTAAATGACTTAGAGATAATAGGATTAATCCATCTCTGTTTGTCTCCTTCCTATCAGTTAGTAAGTATATGATTGGAGCATCAGTGACTACCAAGGTCATGGACAGCTAATTGGGTGTTATCTGTATTTCCTATAGTCTGACAAAGAGGTCCAGCCTGGCTATGCTCTAACCTGGATCTGCCTCCCTTTGGAAGACAATTACAGAGGACAGAGAAACATGTTGAACTGTACTGAGAAAATGATCAGTAAATTCTAGACAGCAAAACCCTAAAGATTTTACATGTCCTGAACCTTTTTAACAGATGAATTATAAGAAAAAGAAAAAGATGGAAGAGCCTCAGATTCAACAAAATTGAAAAAGTTTTTATTATTTTTTTTAAGATTTATTTATTTTGGGCCCGGTGCTGTGGTCTAGCTGCAAAAGTCTTTGCCTTGAACGTGCCCGGGATCCCATATGGTCGCCGGGTCTAATCCTGGCAGCCCGGCTTCCCATCCAGCTCCCTGCTTGTGGCCTGGGAAGGCAGTCTAAGATGTCCTAAAACGCTTGGGACCCTGCATCTGCATGGGAGACCTTCCTGGCTCCCAGCTTTGGGTCGGCACAGTACTGGCCATTGTGGTCACGTGGGAAGTGAATCATCGGACAGATCTTCCTCTCTGTCCTCCTCTCTGTGTATCTGACTTTCCAATAAAAAAAAAATCTTAAAAAAATTTATTTAGTTTTACATTTACAGAGAGGAGGAGAGACGGAAAGATCTTCCATCTGCTGGTTCATTCCCCACGTGGCCACAGTGGCTGAAGCTGAGCCAATCTGAAGCCAGGAATCAGGAGCCTCTTCTGGGTCTCCCACACCAGGAGCAGGGTCCCAAGGCTTTGGGCCATCCTTGACTGCCTTCCCAGGCCACAAGCAGAGAGCTGGATGGGAAGCCGGGTGCTGAGATTAGATCCGGAGCCTGTATGGATCCCAACATGTGCAATGCGAGGATTTTAGCCACTAGGCTACTGTGCTGGGCCCTGAAAAGGCATTTTAACAGTGGGATTTTTTTTTTTAATCATGGCTGAATTGAAGTTAGCAACTCTTTTTCCAAGAATAATTATAAAACTGGACAAAATTGACAAAGTGACCATTTCAGTGCTCTGAAAATTAAAAATACACAACTACCTTGGAATCATTTATGCTTGAGGAGCTTCTAAGAGGCTAGCATTTTCAGTGAGAAGAGATGTGTGTGGTGTTCCTTCCTAGACAGTTCCTTCCCTACAACCCCTAAGCTTGGTTAAAGGGATCTGCCGCAGCGGGGTGGGTCCTGGGACACGGAGGCTTTGATATTGGTAGTGATTGCTTTAGCACGGAGGGTGATGCCCGCTCTCAGCTGCTCTGTTTCAGAAGTGGTTGTTTTCACAGCCCATGGGCAGATGGGCCATTGGTTCCATCGGCTTGGCCTGGTGCTGGCCGCGAGGCAAGTGTCTTCATGACTGAGGTGATACACTTGTGCACCTGCGGCCAGCTGCGAGCAGAAACCCACCCAGCTCTCCCGGTGTGGATGCACAGAAGAGATGTGCAGACCACTGGTGAACTGTGCGGGCTGGGCCGACCTTTAAATCATGTCAACTTCAGTTGAGTTTCGTGTTGGCAGATTGATGACAAATGTTTTTATTAACTTGAAATTTGCAGCACAAATTACTTCAGAAAATGGAATTAAAGTTTGTTTTGATGCAAGAATTTTGAAAGCCACTCATTTCTTTTCAGAATACGCATTTTCTCTAAACTTTTAAGGACCTTTCCTATGCACAACTTTCTGCTTTTTTATTTTTTTAAATCAATATGAAGTTATGAATTATCAGGCTTTTTACCATGGAGATCGGTTAGGGTTTTCTTCTTCTTCTTTTTTTTTTTTAAGTACCATTTTGCATGAACAGATTTGTCCATATGAGTGTTTGATAGCTGTAAGTCCATTGTAGTTAATTTTCTTACTGATATTCATCTTGATTGATCTTATTTCAAATGGAGTCTCTGACTCTTTTGATGCAGTCCTTTATGAAAGTTTTTATGTTCTTCAAAAATGATAAATTTGTAACCTTGTTTTAAAGGGAACTGTATTACCTCCAGGGAATGAATTTCTTCTCCAAGCGGAACTGCCTTCATGATCATTGAACGTGGAAATGGGATCGGGTGTTAATGTTGATTTTTTTCTCCCCCTTTGGTAGGTATGGGAAGTATGCCCAGCATGCCACCGCTTCCAGCTGTTGCTCCAGTGCCAATGGGGTCCATTCCAGTCGTTGGCATGTCTCCGCCTCTGGTATCTTCTGTCCCTACAGCAGCAGTGCCTCCCCTGGCCAATGGGGCGCCCCCTGTTATACAACCCCTGCCTGCATTTGCCCATCCTGGTACGTGGCCTGCTGAAACTACCAACTGAGGTTTTATAATTTGTATGTTGCTGTTGGTCTCATTCAGTCTTTTGTCCTCACTTTCTGGTTATATTTAGATGATATGCTAGTGTGAGGGGGAAGAGGAATTGATGATTTTAGTTTCTCAGTTTCCCCCAGGTTTGATAGCTGTTTTCATGTACTGGTTACTTTTATTTAGCTACTATGAATTACTGATGAACAAGCCTAGTTCCCCAGGACAGACTCATGTGATTGGGAGAAAATGAGCGTTTTGTGTTTTTTTGAGTAGACAAATGAACCAGGCAGAAGGGGAAGGAACTGTGTGAAATGGCTGTAGGTATTAGAACCATAATATTACTTACCTGCTTAATTGATGCAAAGGTTTTAGAAGTTACTGAGTTAATGTCATTTAATTTGAGACTTTCAGGTAAGATTTTTATTTTTCTTTAAAGAAAGCATAAATATCTCCCTTTCTCTCTGTCTTTACTCTCTGTTACTGCTACAAGTAAATAAAATTTTTAAAAAGTATGAACTATAAATGTAGATAGTCAGTCTGAAAGATTTTAAAATCCAATAACTAATGAATTTGTATCATGGATTTTTTTTTTATAAACACTTTGAACACATGGATGAATGAATTCCAGTGATGCCAGCGTGGTTTTTAGAATTATATTGGAAACATTTCTGTGCCTGTGGTCCTTTTATTTATTACGTCTGTTGCGAACTGTCTCTAAGTTACAGTCCAAGCATCTTAAGTCACCCTCTTGTTTTTAATTGTCTTGTCACACTTGCTCCTACTTTGACAGATGACCACGATGGCAAGTGTGTTGGTGAAGGAGGAAGTGTCACAGTTCTGCAAGTGCTATTAGTGAGCCCATGCACCAAGCCTCCCTTTATCTTACAGCTTGTTAGAAAGCTGGCTTCTGGCAAGCCAGGAATGTGGCTAATACGGGTCACAGTGCTTTTTTTTTTTGTTTGCCCTTGCACACAGCTGGCCAGAATAGAACCAGACAGAAAAGTTGCCCCTGTGGAGCATCACAGGTTATCTGGTCCTATTTTCTTAGCACACTTACAGAAATGCCATCCTCTGTATTTAAATTGTTACTGCCTTAGCTATTGTAACAGGCCCTTTACAAAACAAACAAACAAATAAATAAATGACCCTGAAACCCTAAGAAAGCATAACATTGTGTGGATTTCAGATTTAATAACTAGTAACATGATTTTCAGTAAGACAGGTAAATCTAAAATTGGTTTCAGAAGGACAGAATACAGAGATGATAAACTTTCTGAGTCTAAAAAAAATTTGCAAAACAAAAAAATAGTAATAAGGGAAACAAAAATAAGAAAAAAAATTAACTTTCTGAGTCCAGGTACTTTTTTTTTTTTTAATTGGAAAGGCAGATATGCAGAGAGGAAGATCTTCTGTCCGATGGTTCACTTCCCAAGGGACTGCAGTGGTTGGAGCTGAACCAGTCTGATGCCAGGAGCCTCTTCTGAGTCTCCCACATGGGTGCAGGGTCCCAAAGCCTTGGGCCACTGAGACTAGAACTGGTGCCCATATGGGATCCTGGCACATTCAAGGCGAGAACTTTAACCACTATGTTATTGCGCTGGGCCCCTGAGTCCAGATTCTCAAGACTAGGAAATATCAGACCTAGTGCAATGGCTCAGTTGGCTAATTCCCCTTGCAAAGTGCCAGGATCCCATATGGGTATTAGTTTGTATTTGGCTGCTGCACTTCCCATGCAGCTTCCTGTTTGTGGCCTGGGAAAGCAGTTGAGGATGGCCCAAAGCCTTGGGACCCTGCACCAGCATGGGAGATGTGGAAGAAGCTCCTGGTTCTTGGCTTTGGATCGGATCAGCTCTGGCCATTTTGGCCATTTGGGGAGTCAGCCAGCAGACAGAAGATCTTTGTCTTTTCTTTCCTGTAAATCTGCCTTTCCTATAAAACTAAATAAATTTTTTTTAAAATGTAGAGAATATTTCTTCCTTTGATTTGGTGTCTGCATTTTATTGTTTTCTTATATTAAAATTATTTAACATTTATTTTTACAGCAGCCACATTGCCAAAGAGTTCTTCCTTCAGTAGATCTGGCCCAGGGTCACAATTAAACACTAAATTACAGAAGGCACAATCATTCGACGTTGCCAGGTAAGCTTGCTTGTTTTGAAATGACAAGTTTGGTTAAAGCCATTATCTGATTCACTTATAAATTTGGAAATGGATTTAGTTACATTTTTTTGTTGTTGGTCTCTTTTATCCTGTAGAATGGTAATAATAACTTTTTTGTTGCAGTTGGTGTCACAAAATTTTATCATTTGTTGCAGAAATGACAAATGAAGCACATGATACTTCTTTAAGTGCCTCTGTTGCTTTTAAAGAAGATGACAAATAGGAAATAGTAAAATGGTTAAAGATAGTGAAGTAGAGAAAAGCACATGAATTGCCTGTTAATCCTTTTAAAGTTTATTTTTAAAATGTGTGTGATGATTGGAGCTACATTGATCTTATTTTTAATTCAGTGTACTCTGAGCTTACAAAGTTTGTGTTGTTAGAGAAGTATGCCCGAAGCTTTTCAAGTGCCCTCCTTGATCCACATGAGATGACTCTTCTTTTTCCATTTTGTATGTAAGGCTCAAGCTCAGATATATCAAGTAACTTGTCCAAGGTAATATGATACATGGCAGAGTTCAGAACTGAACTATGTTCTTTGTGGTTTCAAGGAGTGTGTCCTTAAATATGCATAATTTCTCTGAAAACTTTCAGTTAATTGTGACTTACATGCATTGTGTTGAAGTTTTTACTCTAACACGCTCAAGCATGTATTACATACCCACTTCGCCAGGAACTTCATTATTGCCATTCAGGTCCACAATCATCGTAGCCTTGCGTAAGCTCAAGCTTGTGATCCAGGAAGCACATCCTGCGAGAGAGTTCACAGCTCTGTATGAGGAAGATCTGAGATTTAAGCTCCTATCACCTCACACCAAGTTCCATATTTCTTATCCTTTTTCCTATCCCATGTTGAAATTTCACATTTTCTCTGATTTTTTTTCACAAAGGATTTTGAAATCTACTGTAAAATTACTGTATGGCATTAGAATAAGTGAACACTCAGTATTGGTAAACCTTAGTGCTATTAAGATATTTTTAAAATAATCATTACCATCTTTCAGTAGCTTAAGTTTCAGTGTATCAACTACCTTACAGGCAGCAGTTTGCTGAGTTTTTACTCTGTGAAACTTCTACAAGTTTGGCAGAAAAGCATGCGTTGATAAGTGTAATCTGAGCCAACTTGTGTGAGTAACACCCTGCGTGCCTGGAGTGTAGGGACAAGATATCGATATAGTCAGTTCCTTGGCAAACAGGCATCGGAACCAGCAACATAGTCGTTAGTTTAAAATGAGAGAATTCTCACAGAAATGCTCTCAGCAGAATAGATCATGGTAAGTGTTGTATATTGAAAATTCCTGAAATTGAAAAACATGAATTTATTAAATAATATTTTTCAAGTCTTTGGGGACTCTTCTATGTCTCATGAATTGTGTTGTGTATTGTAAATGTAAATTATAGAAGTGACATCAATGATGAGTAAAGATTTCATACGTTTTGAAGATTACATGTGAAAAGTTGATGTTTTTCTGGGTATGAAAGGAAATTGCAAATGGGCATTATTTATATTCTGTCCAGGAAGTGAAATTCTGTTTTCACTGTTAGCTTCATGATTGGTTAGATTCCTACCAAGCCAAGGCTGACCAGGCCTGCACTTATGCTGGCGGGCGTCTCTGCGTTAGGAGGGCTGCGATGGCTGGCAGCTCCGCCTGTAGCTGCTCTGTTGCCTGGCCATGGCCCTGGAAGCCTCGTGTTCTCTCTAGGAAACCTTCCACTGAGTGGGAATTTAAATGCCACAGAATCAAAAACTTTTGCTGAACTAAGAAATAGGTCCTGAATGTTGGCAGGTAGAAAGTTCAACTTTCTGGAGAATTAATGTCTGAAGTAGTGTTTTTTTTTTTTTTTTAATTTCAGTGGCACTTTCTAAATGAAGTTTTGTTTGTTTTTATTTGAGAAGCAGACAGAGAGAGCTCCCACCCAGTGTTCATTCAGGCTTCATTTCACAAATATGCGTAGTAACCTCAGCCCCGGGGCTGGCATGGGGAGCCAAGAACTCGGTTCTGGTCTCTCACATTAGCAGCAGGGACCCAGTCACTTGAGCCATCACCTGTTGTCTCTCCAGGGCACAACACCACGAAGCTTGAGTTGGGAGCAGAGCCAGACCTGGAGCCTAGGCACTCTGATATGAAATGCAGGTGTCCTCACTGCGCAGACAACTGCCTGCCCATCAACATTGCCTCTGCACCAAAATAAAAAGGTTCTAGGAGGCTGGAAAAACCTACACACAGGATAGGGGCCTTGCGCAATGGCTCAGTAGCTAAATTCTCACCTTGCAGAGGCTCATATCACATATGGGTGCTGGTTTGTATACCAGCTGCTCTACTTCCCATCCAGCTCCCTACATGTAGCCTGGGACAGCAGTCAAGGGCAGCCCAAAGCCTTGGGACCCTGCACCTGCGTGGGTGAACCAGACGTTTTTGACTTCTGGCTCCTGGCTTCGGATAGGCTCAGCTCCAGCCATTGTGGCCGCTTGGGGAATGAGTCAGCAGACGGAAGATTTTTCTCTCTGTCTCTCTCTCCTTCTTTTTGTAAATCTAGTTTTCCAATAAAAATAAATAAATCTTTATAAGCCAAAGAAAAAACAAAGTCCTACACAGAAGTTTGGTCATCTCAGTTCCAAGAAGACTTTCCGTACCTTTGTAGAAACTGCAGATACTATCATCAACAGTCTGTAGAGTTTATTTTTAATTCTGGGACATAATGAGCTTGTCTTCATTGACAGAAATGTTTGTCATTTCAAAAACGGGAAATGCTCGTTACAAAAAATTCACAAATAATGATTGCAGAAACGTAGTATCAAGTAAGATTTTTTTTATCTAGGAAAGTTCTTAGTTTACGGTTTTTAAAAGCACTTCAGTAAACGTCCTCAGGTTCAGCTTCCTTCTCTCCTTCTCTTTCACAGTGCCCCTCCAGCAGCGGAATGGGCTGTCCCCCAGTCATCGAGGCTGAAGTACCGGCAGTTATTCAACAGTCATGATAAAACTATGAGTGGACACTTAACAGGTATTTACAAACACAAATAAATGTAGGAGTAAATCTGTATAAATTGTGTCTAGACCCCGAATACCAGGTAGATCCAAGTATCTTCTCTACCTCTTCCGTCCTAGGTAGGGTTTTCTGCGTCTGCTCCTCTGAGTTCTCGTCTACCGGTAGCTCCATGCGTAGGATGTTCTCCTGCGCTCTCGGCGTTTGCCACACTGCTTCCTGCGGGGTGGAAGGTCAAGCTGCGACCTGCCTGTGGAAGGTCATTGTACATTTCCAGGCACTAGCCAAGAAGCATTGCTGAGAATTTAAAAAACTAGTCGCATATTCTGAATCCACTTTTTACAGTACCTCTTTAAAACCTAATGTTGTGCCTATACAAAGCTGGAGGTGGTTGATATGATTGCCATGAATTTTTTAAAAATGTAAAAAATTCTGTTATCCATGTCTTAAGAATTTTAGGATACTATCTGTGAGGATTTTAATATATGTCTATTTATCCAGATCTGTCTAAATTTCTAAATGTACCTATATAGCACTAGATTGATACATCTGTATAGATAGTGTGAGAGACTTTAAAGGGATCTGATCTCCTGTTGTTCCCCAAAAGGATATCAGGGCCAGTAGTAGAACAGACAGAAATTCCTTGTATAGCACACTCACTTCTGGATAAAATAGTAACTGTCTCTCTTATGTACAGGATGTAAGCCCAGTGTAGTTTACAGGGATGCTGAAGGAGTATTGAGTCAATCAAATCACCTCTCCCACATAGTAAAATAACAGTGCTGAATACAAACCAAAACTGCCATGTTTGTGAGTCTGCAGATTCTTCAGAACATTGTTGCTATATGCTGTAAGTGAATTAAAATAGTGCTCAAATGCGACATTGATCCAGAAATTCTCTTTTTTGGTAGGATATGTGATTTGTGAATGAAATGCAGTCTCTACATTCCAAAGATAATGAACCAAGCACTTGAACATTTAGAACTTTTAAATATCTGAGGCAGAAAGTAAAATTTGAAATATACTGGAGAGAAAACAGAGTTTGCTCTTGTTTATCTGCAGCCTTTATTACTCCTTTGTTCCAGCAAGACCCTAAGGTGCGATTTTTATTTTCAAAACAGACCTTTGTAAAGTCATGTCACATAGAATAATTTATGACAGCGGATTTAAACGTGGGAATCAGTTAATTAAATTTGTTTTTATGTACTTACTATGAATCAATGTAGAATGTATTGTAGGCTAAACTTGACTATTCAAGGAAACAGAGCTAATCTGTTAATGGTTGATCATGCTGTGAAAATAATTCTGTAAGCTTAGGGTCTTGAGCAGTGTGCATTCAACTGGAGGATGAAATGTACATTGGTAAAATGCAGAAAAAGACCCAGAATGTAAGATACAGAAGAAATGGATACTTTAGCTAGTCTGAATCTTGATTCTTCTTCCTTCCTGATTTTATGTGGAGTATTGTTTTAAAGGAAGTAAAAAGCATTTTTGTAGCACACACATCATTGTATTTCTTAATCTAGTATAATATTTCTCAACCTTAGATTTGTGACAGCCTTAACACTAGTGTTTGGAAATCCAGCTTAATTGTGGGGGTTACAAATAATGTGTTTTACAGAAAATCCAGACTGCCCCTGTGCTGTCACTTTTGCTCAGTTGTGTTTGCCTGTGGGTTTGACTGGGACATGATTACAGACACTGCTCTTAACCTTCAGCCTCCCAGTCTATTCTCTGGCCTGTGGCAAATGCCCATCGTTAAAGTAACATTGTCTTTTATTTTCATATACATCTATTTGGTGCCATGTGATTTTGACTAGACCTGTGGTGAGAATGTCATCATTTTTTCCCAGCAGAAGAAAGTAAGAATGTCTGGTCTTGTATGATAGTCCATGGTAGGAAGTGAAGCAACCCAGCTGGCTGTACCATCTACCACAGTAATTCATTACTTGTGTTCGTTTAGCTGGCCTAAGCTGGTTAAGTGGGCGTCCACTTCTGCCACAAGTTGTGTGTGTGATTGCATGTGCTTAAGAGAAACAGCCTGACAAACTAGAGTACCTTTCTTTTAATTAAGGCTTTATTGGTAACAATGCTAACTCCTCCTCAACCAGTAATTTTATTTTGTGGCTTCCTGAAACAATGCTATTTGTAACCAAATTCATGTGTTAATCAGAATGCTATACTTAATCTTTGCAATAGAGCATTAATTCCATGTGATTGACTCTTTCTGCCCATACTGGAGTTGGTGAGCTACAAACTTGTTTGTCGTCCCGTGTCCTTTCCAGCTAGTGCTCTATTAAGATATCCTTTTATGTGCCGAGGGTTCCTGGCTGAAAGTTCTGTGTACTTAGTGCTCAGTTTTTACGCCGTCTTGCTATGCTAGGATGCTAGCTTAGTTGGTGCTGATCTGCTCTAACGTTTCCCAGTGTTGTCTTAGAACTATAGAGTCAGGTGTGTGAATTGCAAGAGACAACTGCAATAATCTAGTGCAAGGTTCAGAAGATATTCTGTAAAGGATGAGAATGTAAATATTTCAGGCCGATAGGACCTAAGTTCTCCATTGCAACGACTCACTAGTCATGGTACCACAAAAGCTGACAAAGTATGTGCTGTAATGAAATGGCCATGGCTGTATTTCAATAAACCTCTATTTGCGGTAGCTGACAGCAGGCCAGGTGTGGCTTGCAAGCTGCACTTTATTTCAGACTTAATGAATTAAAATCATTCTGTTCATGTCACATTACATTGTTACTGCTGGCACCCAGGTGTAGAACTGTGGATCCACATTTAGTGTTATCCTGTTTATTTGATGTGGTTAAACTCTGATACTTAACAGAAATTTTGTTTCTGAAGTGGGGAGAATTGTTAGAGACATAAATTAAAGCCTTTATGAAAGTTTTGCTCATTCTGCTTTGATGTTCTCAACAGACCATCGGACTGTGTGCACAGCACACACACCTAACAGGAACTTTCACCTGAACTTTAGATTGTTCAGTATTCACGATAGTCCCAAACTGACAACCATCATTATAGCAAGCTGTGATGTAATCACAGAGATGCGCTGCATGGCATGGAGGGCTAATGTTCTACAACTACACACAGTAATAAATTCGGCGAAATAATCCACACAGACATATAAGCACTCAAAAGCAAAATAAACAGAAAAGTTCATTTTGGCCCAGAAAAACTTAGAAATTCATTAGTGGGAGGAGTATTCATGAAGTTTGTGAAACTGTGTCTTATGAGAAAACTATTCATGGATTTCAAAAAATTTTCCACCAAAATAAATATCACTTAAATTCAATTTTCTGTGAACTTTTTGACGCTTTCATTGATCTTAGAGGCTCAAAATTAAGCTCCCCTTGGTGGGAGCAAATGCTGCAAGAGAAGCAAAGGGAGGCTTGCAGGGTGCTGATGGAGTTCTAGGTTCTGGGGACTGCGAGCATTTTCAGCCATATACATGTGCCTTTGTGTGTGTTCACATGTATATATTCATATGTGCTTGCTTGCTTTTTTCTAGTAACTTTTGTAAGCAAAAGTTAAATATTACCAGTAATATGAATTAGCATCTTGAGCACTCTGTGTGTGCTACGCTCAGTGCTGTGGTTTTCTTGCTGGGTTGTAGACTTGTTCATCTGGAAGAGACCTGTCAAATGAGAAAATTAAGATCCCAACCAGTGACAAAGCTACCTCCCCCATGTCACTCTGCAACGTCAACCAAGCTAGAGCCAGAGCCCGAGGTCCCCCATGCTTCTGAGAGCAAATGTGCTGAAACCTTGTAGTAACTCTAAAATACTGGCAGCTTCTCCTGTTTGCAGTGCAATGGCACACCCACTTCCATGTGTTTTGATGAAGTGATATTTGGAAATCAACATAACTAAAAGCAAGCATTTTTACACATGGAGATCTTCCAGCTCTAGCTGCTGCTGTCCTCCTCTCCACAATCGTTCCTGGGAGCACACCTTGAGGCAGTGCTGGAAATGAGTCTGCTTTCTCCATGACTCTGATTTATTTAAACACTCAGAATCTTGCATTGCAGCTGTCCTCTGATAGCTAAAGCTGGTTTCATGCCAGAAATAAAGCTATTTGTAATGGCTTTAAGAAATGAAACCTGATTTTGAAAGAAGAGTTGAAATTCCAGGAATCATTTTTTTTTTCTTTTCTGGCTCACGTAAGAAATGTGTTCCAGTCCTGGCTGTGATAGTTGGCCAGTTGCACAACCTTGAGCAATTCACCCCAATCCTCCCCCAGCTCGCAATGTCTGTCTGATGAAATAGTCAGAAGGGGTCCCTCTGAAGTCCCTTCTCTTGGCGTCTCTGAATTCTCCCTGAATTGATTTGATGCTGGTCTTGGTAGAAGCATTCATGCTGGTTCTGGCAGAAGATAACTGACTTTAAAGTGAATAAGTCTCAGCTGTGCAAATAAAAATCCAATATAAACACAGATGGTTATCCCAGTGTAAGGGCAGAATATCGTTTTTAGAATTCCTGTCATTTAATTCCTCATTAAATATCCATTGAGAACAATTTCCTATGTGTCAAATGATATACAATGCTATTTCTCTCCTTTTTCATTGGAATTCAATATCCATTTTAAAATGCCTCCAGGATAGTAGAAAAAACATGTTTTAAAGTGCTGTGATTGCATAGAATTGCATAGTTTATATATACAAGGCCTGGTTTTGCTATAGAGTAAGTATTTGCTGATTCATCTGTGTGTCTTTTTTATAATATCTGTGTAGGTCCCCAAGCAAGAACTATTCTCATGCAATCAAGTTTACCACAGGCTCAGTTGGCTTCAATATGGTAAGGAGTGAAAAGTTCTGTGGTTTGTGTAATATAGAAACTGATTCTTCGATTGGCCTGGCTTCGTGAGCTTTTTAGACTGCTGCTTTTTTGAGGGTGGGAGAGAGATAACTAGTGAGTTTCATTTTCAGCAAATTGAGATGACCACCCATCTTTTTTCCCCATACCAATTTTGATAATGCAGCAAATTATCAAGAACTCCTAACACAGCTCATTGGTTTCCAGCTAATGGCCAATCTTTCTCCTCTCCTGCTTCCCAACTATTCTAATCTAAATCAATTACTGTTATCATTTCATCTGTACACACTTCAGTTCTGTGTGTGTTAATATTACCATAATATCAATAGTCCACCTAAGATTTGGTAGTCTTCCTTATCAGACAATGTCTAAATTATAGATTGCCTTGTACTTTTTAAAAACTAATTTATTTGTTCAAATTAGGACCAAGGCAAATGTATTCTTGCAGTATTCGGTTGGTGCATCTCTACATATAGTTTAATCTTTCATTCCCTTGTGCTTTGTTCTCTAATTCTCTGTGACTCCTCTCCAGAATCCATGATGACAGATCAGGGCATTTTCCTGTCGTTTCTTAATGGCCTTACTGCTTTCCACTGTAGTTGTTTGACTTGTTGCTTTGCTTCCCCTCAATTGGTATTTGTATGTAGAGCAGATCTCTGACCCTTGCCCTGTTGAATTTGGGGCTGCAGCATTCTCTTGTCCTGTGCACTGTAAGATGTTGAGTAGCATCTCTGACCTGTGGACTACTGGTCAGATGTCAAGAGCATGACCTCTATGACCTCTACCTAGTTAGGACATCAGAAATAATGTCTACAGGTACTTGGTCGGAAACCGCTGATCAGACTGAAGGGTTTTTTGCTTGTTTACTTGTTTGTTTTTGCGATTTTTTGGGTTTTGTCAAAGCTGCCCCTTGAACGTATATACTTTCATGAGGAGATGCATGATGTCTTGAATTTGTAGGTATTTGAGCATTAAGGGATGAGCATTGTCTTGATTCTGTAGGCTTCCTTATTTTGAATATTAACTGGGGTGGCTGCTTAAGAAGTGTGCCTCTTTTAGTTCTGTGTTTATAGCTGTTCCTGGAACGTGAACCTCATCTACAGTGCACACATGCTGTGTTTGACTTTCATGTAGAGCACACTGACCAGGTTCTGAGCAGCTCCCTTTGCCTTACCTCTTCCATTCAGCTCTAGATTTTAAAATCAACCCTTTGCAATTGAGTAGAGCAGCTGGAACATTTTGTATCTATGACGCAACCAGACCTGTTTTAACCAGAGTATGAGTACCCCAGGGGGCCTCTGAAATACCACCTTCCCATCTAACATCTATGCAGGATGACTGACAGTTCTTTGGGGTCTCATGATACCAGAATATATTGAAATGATTGTTTAAATGTTCTCATTGATAACTTACTTTCTTTAGAAAAAACACTCAAAACTTCTGCTGTTAGAATGTACTACATTTTCCTACATGCTAAAAAGATATTTTCATTAAGTGTTAAAGGCAGGGGGAAGCAAATAAGAATTCGCACTGCCATCTACTCTGAGTTACCAAAAGGATGGATAATAGTAGGAGGGGAAAAAAGAAAGGAGAATGTAGAGGAACATGGAGGGAGGAACTGAAACAGAGATTAGTGGCTGCAAGAGCTAAGGGGAAATGACAAAAGTTGACCCTAAAGAGACATGGGAGGCGTGGGTGGTGCTGATTTTGTTCTGCATGCTGAGGTGGAGGTTATGCAATGATTATGTTTGTCAAGACTCTAAGATTAAATCTCACTTTAAAAAGTTATGGTCCTTGGAAACACCTTTAAACTGAGAGGATGCTTGGCACAGATGAACATGCATCTTTGTCCCGGTGACTTTCTGATGAGCATATACACATTGTTTTTGGCATCTTCTTTTTATATCTAGAAGTTAAAGTAAAATCACATTCTTGTACTTAATAAGTAATTTTTATTTATTGTAATTAGCTGCTCGGGAAGGTTCATTGTAAATAAAAATGGAAGCTGACTCCAAGATTGAGGAGGAGGAAACTGCATGAATTTGTACTTTGAGAGTGTGAAAGTCTACCCTTCTGGACCCAGGTTAGGGGTGGCCTTATGCCCTTATTTGCTTTCATAGATAAAGACTTATTGTAAAACAGCCATCCCCATAGTGTGTCAGATTTAATAGAATACATAGAACATGATTTTGACATGGTTTAAGTAAGCTGACAAGAATTGAAGGGAGTATCATTATAAACATAGTTAACATTGTTGTCAAAATTGAGCTCTGTCCTAACTATACGGGCAATCATATTATGAATGATATAAAATAGATACTGTTTATACAGAGAAGCACAAAGGGACTCATTTGGCCAAAGATCAGAATAAGAAAACCTAACTCTTGAATCTTCATGAATAACATGAGGCATGCATTTTCATGAAACCAGATTACAATGAACATTTCATTGAATAGGAATCTTTCAGACATCGATCAAGATGGAAAACTCACAGCGGAAGAATTTATCCTGGCTATGCACCTCATAGATGTAGCCATGTCTGGCCAGCCACTGCCCCCTGTCCTGCCTCCAGAATACATTCCACCTTCCTTTAGGTAAGGAATACTTGGCTCTCACAAGCAGTTATGTGCTCACTATGTGGATTCCAAATTTAGCTGTGTTAACAGTACATCTTGCAAAGATTTTCTTTTTTAATTGTTTAAAATTTATTTTTGATAATTTTTACAGATTTGATTAGGGTGCAAAGGGTCATGGGCTAGAGGAAAATGGGTGAGACCTTTGTTTTGACATTCTCTTTTTTCCTTCCTGTATCTGACAGGGCGGGGACAGAGATAAGGCGGGTGGTGGTCAGCCATGTTCCATACTAACAAGCCCAACCCAGGACTCCCGTGTGGGCTGGTGCACCAGTCTGACCCATAATGATCTTGAGGTTTTTCCCCTCCAGACCACCAGGTCTCAGTCCCCTCACTTACGTGCAAGTACAGTGGCCCTGTCGTTGGTTGTCCCTCAGGATTCATTCCTCACCTGCAAGTACAGTGACCTTATCCATGGATTCCCTAGGCCATAATTCCATACCAGTAAGATCCCAGAGCTTACAAGCCCAGGACCCTTCCCCTGCCTGGCAGTGTGGATGGGACAGGAAGCCTGGGGCAGCACAGGTACCCCGATCCATAGCCATGTGGCTGGGGGTCCAGCCACCCACGCCTAGCAGTGTGGATTGGGCAGGAAGCCTGGGCCAACACAGGTACCCCAATCTACAGCCATGTGGCTGGGGGATCCAGACACCCAAGCCTAGCAGTGATTTTCATTGCTGGAAACTGAGATACCTATAAATACAAGAGAATTTTCTTTCTAGATTTTTTTGTGATGTTTATATAGTTGAACCGGATAGGAAAGATGGAGGATTAGGAAACAGTGGTGGGACCATTGTTCTAAAATTTTCTTTTTCTTCCTCCTGTATTTGGAGGAGTGGAGAGATAAGGGGAGAAGCCGCACCCACCCTCCTTACCACCTCAGTTCCTGGGGATGGGGAACTGCCACCTGCTATCATCCCAGGATCCCTGATGTGAGGGATGCTCTGAGGGATCCTGCTGAAGTGGTTTCAGAAGTTCTGGAATGCTGTCCAAGGATTTCTGTTTAGATTCTATGTTAATCCCGTGCCCATTTTGTTCTGCGAATGCTTCTACTACTCATAATACAACAAAATAAGACACCAAAAGATTGTTGTGATCAAAAATTCAACAGACATTTTAGGAATAAATGCTGGTTATGAAAGAGAAACTGAGCATGTACATGGAAGATAAAGCCAGGAGCCCAGTGCAGGAACATAGTGGCTGAAGTCCTCACCTTTCACATGCTGAGAGTCCATATAGGTGACGTTTGTGTCTTGGCGGCCCTGCTTCCCATCCAGCTCCCAGGAAAACAGTCAAGGATGGCCCAAAGCGTTGGAACCTGCACCTCTCTAGGAGACTGGGAAGAAACTCCTAGCTTCTGACTTCAGATTGGCTTAGCTCTGGCTGTTTTGGCCACTTGGGGAGTGAATCAATGGATGGAAGAGCTTTCTCTCTTTCTTCCTCTCTATGTATCTGATTTTCCAATAAAAAAAATAAAATAAATCTAAAAGAAAAAAGAAACCAAGGAAATTGTGCTTGTCCATTATACGCATTGAAGAGATAATAAAAATGCTGGCCATGGCTGCCCTACTTCTGATCTAGTTCCTGCTAGTATGCCTCGTAATGCAGTGGAAGAGTGGCCCAAGTGGCAGCCTTGTGGGCGACCTGGAAGAAGTTTCTCACCTCCTCTGTGGCCTGGCCCGGCCTTGGCACTTTCAGGCATTTAGGGAGTGAACCACTTCCTTCTCATTAATCACTTGTCTAAAGAAGTTTCTCCTGATCTGAAGCACAGTCTCACTAGAGATGATAGGAGAGTTCTCCAGTGGTGGGGGGGAGGGGCAGTGTTTGTTTGTTTGTTTCTTTTCTTTCTTTCTTTCTTTTTTTTTTAGGTGTTTGTTTTCTAATTTTTTTTTGAAAGGAAGTTTTAGAGAGATCTTCCATCTACTAATTCATTCCACAAGTGGCCGCAACAGCCAGATCTGTGCTGCTCTAAAGCCAAGAACGAGGTGTTTTTCCCAGGTCTCCCACATGACTGCAGGGACCTAAGCACTTGAGTCATCTTCTTTCTGGGAAAGAATGCTTTCCCAGTTGCATTTGCAGGAAGCTGGATCAGAAATGGAGGAGCTGGGGCTTGACCATGCCAGTGCCACAGGTACAGGCTATGCCATTGAGCTGGTTATTGCTCCACATCTTAAGACTTTTTCACAACTTTCCCAATTCTACCAAAATAGCTTAATGTGAGTCTGTTCTGTTTTTCTTTTTTCCTCCCATGTTTGCAGGAGAGTTCGGTCTGGCAGTGGTATATCTGTCATCAGCTCAACCTCTGTAGACCAGAGGTTACCAGAGGAACCAGCGTTAGAAGATGAGCAACAACAGTTAGAAAAGAAATTACCTGGTAAGTTGGTCTTTTGTGGTTTTGAGTTATACATTTGAAAGATTGTCTCTAAGGCGAAGATGAACATAAAAATAAATTAAACTTTTGACACATGTTCCTTTAACTGATTTTGGACAGAAAGGAATGCTTTTTTTTTTTTTCCTTAAAGAGACTGATTTATTTAAAGGCAGAGTTCCAAGGGGTTGGAGGGAAGCCATCTTCTGATTTGATTTCTCCTGGTTTCAAGTGACTCTGATAGCTGAGGTTGGACCAGCCTGAAGCCAGGCCTCAAAACTCCATCCAGGTCCCCAGCTGAGTAACAAGGCCTCAAGTTCTTGGACCATCATCTGTTGTTTTTCCAGGTGCATTATCAGGAATTTGGACTAGAAGCTGAGTAGCTGGTACTCAAACTGGTACTGCCATATGTAGTGGCAGCTGTCAGCCTAACTTGCTATGCTACTGTGCCAGTCCCAAAAGAGACATTTGTAATACACTTCTGGATTTGAATCTGTGTTAAGAAATAAGAACCCTACTAATAAGATCTTGCTGTAACTTTTTAAAGATATATTTATTTTGAGACTCAGTTACAGTGGGTGGGGGGGGGGAGACAGCGAGGAGAGTGAGTGAGCGAGTCATCTTCCATTTCTAGTTCACTCCCCAGGTGTCTACATGGGCCAGCATTTACCAGCCAAAGCCAGAAGCTTCATCCAGGTCTTCCATGCGGCGAGCAGGGTCCCAGAACACTTGGGCTGTCTTCTGCTGTTTTCCCAGGCCATTAGCAGGGAGCTGTTATCAGAAGTGGAGCAGTTGAGTTAGGAACCAGTGCCCAATGGGATGCCAGTGTTGCAGATGGCAAAATCACCCGTTACAGCTAAACACTGGTTCCCCGCCTTGTAACTTTTTACTTGAAATCTGACTATATGTTATTTAAGATAAAATATGTGTTTTCTGTAGAACTTATATGACTAAAAGTTTCTTAGGTAAGGTGGCTGCATTATATTCCTAGTTGTTGAAGCAGAAAATAAAATCACTTTGTTTTTTCAGGATGTGAAATAATTGAAAATTACTTAATAGAGGAAACTTATTTTAAATTTAATGTGAACTTATTTTAAATAACTCAGATTTTCAGTGACAAGTCCATCATACTGTCAGAATAAAGTGGGTATGCATTATTCATGGTATAGTGATATGAATCAGCAAATGAAATGTATTATGGATTTTCTTACATTAAATCCTTGTCAATGTCATTTTGCTGTAGTGCCCATCAGTTCATTGATTTGCTTGAGGCAGTAGCTTTTCCTTTGTATTCTCACAACTAAATTGTCAGTGATAAAATACTTTTTGAAGATGTTCAATGTGTGAGGCTGTGCATTGAGTATGACCAAGAACCTACATGTTAACAAAACTTTAAGAAAAATTTGGTAGAGGGCTTTAGGTGTATACCTCAATAATCAATAAAGTGGTAGGTGCATGTCAAAAATTCCTGGAGAGTTTTACAGATGAACAACAGAGCTTGCTTCTGGTATGTTGTCATAGGCTGGGAAAGACAGCAATGAAATCTCTATGAAATTTGTTACTACTGAGTGATTTGTTGCACAGGGTCATTATTGGTGGACAAAAGGAACAAGTCAGTCTTGGATGACCATGGAGATGAACAACTGTCAGTGGTGGATGAGGGCAGAAGTGATTAAAATCTGAGATTTTCTTTTTATGTGTGTAGATTTATGTAAGCGTCTTAACAGGAAGCAACATTCTCAAAATGTTTTGTTTGTGCATTGATTTTTAAACAGCCCTTGATTGTTTGCCTTGTTTATACTATGAACAGGGCCAGATACTAGAATTTAAAAGGCAGTTGAAGATTTTGAGAATTGTTGAAAGATTTAAGTGAAATTCACAAAATACTAAAGTCAATCTTTTTTTAAAAGTAATTTATTTAGAATTAAGTTACAAAGGAAGAAAAGAGCATAGGGAAAGGTTGTCCATCCACTGGTTCACTTCCCAGGTAATTGCAATGGCCAGGGCTGGGCCAGGCGATGCTAGGACTTAGAACTTCATCTGGGCTTCCCTTATAGGTATCAGGGGCCCAGATACATGGTATACCTTCTGCTGCATTTCCCAGCACATTGGCAGGGGCCTGGATGGGAAGTAGAGCAGCCAGGAAATAAGCCTACGTGATGCTGGCATCACAAGCTAGAAGTTCAGGATGAAGGTGCTTGGCTGCCAGGTTCCTGCTGAGACCCTCGCCTGCCTTGCAAACAGCAGCCTTCCCTCTGTGTTCTGCCAGTCCTTCCTTACTGCTTGCTGGCACCGATGATAAGGCAGATCTCTTTCTCTTTCTCTCTTTCTCTCTTCTTCCTTTTATAAAGCCACTAATGTCATCCTGAGAACTCTACCCTCATGGCCTCTTCTCGCACTACCCTGAGGGGCAGTGAAGGCTGTATAATTGAATGTGCTAGGGTTGTGGGGATACCAGCCATCATTTACAAAGGAGGTGTGTAGCACACTAACTGCGTCAAACCCCCTTTGCCTATGCCCCGTTTCAAGCCATGTTTTTTTCCTCCTCATTCTTATTGCCCTCCAACCCGTGTCAACAACCATTCTACTCTCCATTACATGGATATTTCAAATAAACAGAATAATATGTTTATGGGATCATCTGTGTCTGGCTTCTTTCACATAGTGTATTATTGTTGAGATTAATCCATGTTGTGGTATGTGATATTACTTCATTGCTTTCTGCCATGGAGGACCTTTAAGATTTAAGGTGGTAAAGAGGAAGCTCCCTCTTCTGAAATTGGCAAGGCTGCCAGAACAGGAAAAGCCAAGCGTGCTTGCCATTTTCGAGCCTTAATGCCTGATTATAGCATGTGCAGTGAAGTCGAAACAGGAGTGTGGAAAGAGGCAAGAAAGATACGCCAAGCTCTGAAGGAAGACAAAGAGAGAAACAATGGTTCTTGAAGTAGACTTGGAACAATGGCAGTGGCATAGCACAGAGGCTAGCGTATGCGATTGCCCGTGACTGGCATTGGTACCATGGGGAAGCATGTGAAGGAAACACACAGTACTATAGGCAGTAAGGGACTTGGAGGGTGAGGTTTTGGGAATAAAGTATAATGGACATAAAAGTTTAACAAGAGGGGGACCCCTCTCCCCCAAAAAAGGTAGACCTGGGTGGTAGTTTGGAAATTCCTCATTGGTATTTCAAAGAAGAATACTGAACAGTGAATGGAGAAATATTTATTTACTAATGGTAATATACCTAATGGTTGAAGCACAACTTGTTATTTGCTGTAGGGCGTGAAGGTCTCAAAAACTACTCTTCAAGATACCATCTTGTTAGATGGCCAAAGCATATGCAAGGTGGGCAACCTGGAGAGACTAGTGGTACAGAAGAATTTGGGAGGTTCAGTGTAGCAGAAAATGGGGTAATGGAGAAGTAAAGAAGGTTGGGTGATGATGCAGAAGTAGAATACAAATGTTTTTTTGGAAACAGTGTCTGGCACGGAGAGAAAATTCTAAGCAGAGGATTTAGGGGAAAGACGTTTTTGCACAGTAAGGAAGCCTTGGAAGCTCTGAGTTTGGATGTGTTCTTCAAATCCCAAACATGCCAATGAGCTTTTGCTTTGAGCAGTCCATTGAGGATCCTGGCTTGATGACTCATCTGTTCTTTGTCTCAAAGTCACATTTGAAGATAAGAAGCGCGAGAACTTTGAACGTGGCAACCTGGAGTTGGAAAAACGAAGACAAGCTCTCTTGGAGCAGCAGCGCAAAGAGCAAGAGCGCTTGGCCCAGCTGGAGAGAGCGGAGCAGGAAAGGAAAGAGCGAGAGCGGCAGGAACAAGAGCGCAAGAGACAATTGGAGCTGGAGAAGCAACTGGAAAAGCAACGGGAGCTAGAACGGCAGAGAGAGGAGGAAAGGAGAAAAGAAATAGAGAGGCGAGAGGTAAGCATCCGTGGAGCAGCCCCTACAGTGCCTGAGTACTCACTCTTCTAGAATTCTCCCAGCGATCCTCTGATGTAGTCACAGACTCGTGCAGACGTCACCACTATCTAGTTCTAGAACATTTTCATCACCTCTAAAAGAAACCTTTTACTCAGCCAAAAGTTTACGCCTTGTTTCTTTTCTTTTCCCAAGCCCTGGCAAACACTGACTGGCTTTCCATGGCCAAAAAAATTCCTGTTCTAGAGATTGTCTTACAAGTGGAATCAGATAGGATGTGATCTTTAGCGAATGGCTTTCTCTTAGCAAATGCTTTGAAAATTCATCCACATTGTAGCAGGAATCAGCATTTTATTTCTTATTGTGGCCAAATAGTCTTCCCTTGTATACATGAGCCATATTTCCTTTATCTGTTCACAAATGGATGGATATTTGGCTGTTGTAAATGATACTGTTATGAACATTTTTTTAATAGAAGACTTATTTGTTTATATTTTGAAATGGAGCGTGGCAGAGAGTGAGACAGAAAAGAGATGTGTCCACAGAAGGCAGAGCTCAGCCAAGCCAAAGTCAGGAACCTGAGACTCCCAGATTTGAGGTACCCCACATCTGGATCCTGGGTGCATTAGTAGTCATTAGCTGGAATCAAAAGCGGAGGCAGAAGTCAGGTCTAGGTCCTCTGAAATGGGATGTTGAATTTCCAAGTAGCAACTTAACTTGCTCCACCACAAAACCCACCCCAAACTGGGAGAATCCTCACTGTCTGCTACAGGATTGTTCATAGATTGATGCCATACCTGGCCAGGGGCAAAACCAGTCTCCTGTTTGTCCTTCCAGTTTTCATGTATCCTTGAAGGATCAGTGCTGTAGTTCTCTCAGGTGAGGGAACTTTGACGACGAGGAGTTTTTCTTCATTAAAAAAAAAACAACAACGAAAGAACTTTCTTTTCATGAACTGATTCTGGAAGTTACTAGTATAAGATATTAATTTCCCAAGTGGATAAGTAAGAGAAACAGCCTTGCATTGGTCAGCATTTAAAAAAAAATGACAGTTCAGAGTGTTTATTCAGAAAAATAAACGTGGAAACACAGTGGTGACTATGATGTCCTTTTGTGGCCCCCAGTCTTGGCAAAGAGCAGTTGGAAGATGGGAAGTTAGGGGAAAGTGCCATACGTAGGGTATGTGTTTCACCCAGGAGTCGCAGCCGTGGCATTGAGGTGAACTCACATGTCCAGGAGAATCAACCAAGTTTCATCATAAGGGAATGAGAGATTAGAGAGGTCAGTGTCAGGGACTTCTAGATTTGAAATATAGGCTGAGTGGTACTTAATACAGGGCACCAACTGCTCTGCAATCCCATTGATTTGGGTTTTAGGTCCCAGGATTAGGATTATTCAACTAGTAAAGTCTGTAGGTATTTGAAAATAAGGAATCCCCAAATCTGAAACATTTGTGGTACAAAGTACTCCAGGTAAAAATAGTCAGACTGTACGTCATGATTTCACATGGTGGAAGAAAACCCAGTTTTTGTTCTTGGGGTTTTAGTTTGCTCTCACTGGATAAAGAAGTGTTCCTTTGTTTTTGTAAGCCTGTAAGAAAGAATACTTTTGTTTACTACTTGAGCATTGGTTAAGACATAAAGCATGGAATTCCAGTGGTGAAATAATCCTGTCAGCTCCCATGTTATAGAAATAGTTCTGAATGTTCCCTTTCTTCTCTAGAAGGAACACAGTATTTCTGTAGAATTTTTTTGGTTATTTTGCAACATCATTTTTTGTAATGCTTCATTCCTCAGTGGAAAGTCTTACTGGTTGTTACTCTTGTTAGGAGACATTGTTTATTGCCTGAACTGCGAAGTTAATAAATTGCTTGTAAATGTCACAGGCTGCAAAACGGGAACTTGAAAGACAACGACAACTTGAATGGGAGCGGAATCGGAGACAAGAACTTCTCAATCAAAGAAACAAAGAACAAGAGGACATAGTTGTACTGAAAGCTAAGAAAAAGACTTTGGAATTTGAATTAGAAGCTCTAGTGAGTGGCTTTGGATGATGGTTGGGAAATTCACTTAACACTGAACCTTGAAAATGGTAACAATTCCTGTTATCTTTCATTTTGTTAAAGAATGATAAAAAGCATCAACTTGAAGGCAAACTTCAGGATATCAGATGTCGTTTGACCAGCCAAAGGCAAGAAATTGAAAGCACGAACAAATCCAGGGAGTTGAGAATCGCTGAGATCACTCACCTCCAGCAACAGTTACAGGTGAGGAAATGCTTCCTGTAAGAGCTTGTAGGCTTCCTTGCTTTTGTCGGGTTCCTTTCACTGACTCACTCAGCAGACTTGAAGCACTGCCCTGTCATCAGTGCTAGAGCCAACGATGCCATGGACAATCACTGCCTGAGAAGTAAGATGTCAAGTCAACAGGCTTGATGGTCGTTTGCCCAGCCAGCACTCTTGTCTGTGCCGATACTGCCACTGAGGGCCATTTCATCTCCACGGGGCTTTCCCTGTGTGTGCATGGAGGGCAGACACTGAACAAGCGAGTACTGTGAGAAAGAGAAGACGTGCCCTGGGAATGAGTCTGGAAGGGGCGTCGGAGGCCTTGGGGTAGGAGAGATTTTGCTTTTACCAAAAGTCAAGGAGACGGACCGATTGAGAGTGCTGCTGGAGCACAGACCTGAAAGCAGTGGAAGGATATCTGCCAGAATAAACTGCAGCCAGACAGTGGTACTAGAGCCCCAGCTGCTCCACTCCCAATCCAGCTCCCTGCTGGTGTCCTGGAGAAGCAGTTAAGGACGGCCCAAAGCCTTAGCACCCTGTGCCCACGTGGGAGACCTGGAGGAGACTCCTGGCACTTGGCTTCACATTGGCTCAGCTCTGGCTGTTGGGGCCACTTGGGCAGTGAATCAGTGGATAGGAACACTCGCGCGCTCTCTCTCTCCCCCTCTCCCCTTCTTCCTCCTTCCCTCCCTCCCTCAATATATTTTTTCAAATAAATATTGTTTAAAAGATATTTATTTCTCAGAGATTTGGCAGTTAGATTGTCCAACATTAATGTGCCAGCATCTGCAAAAAAGGTGGCAGAGAAAAGTTTTGAAGTGTAGGAGCCAGAGAAAGTCTGAGGGAGGAAGGCAGAACTTTTCACCAGGCCGCTCTCAACGTAGGGCATTAACCCTAATCAGAGATTCTCCCCCTCTTCGTGCTATCAGAACGCTAGGTAACTCTGTTAATTTTTTAAAAGATTTATTTTATTTGAAAAGCAGATTTGTATATATAAAGAGAGATCTTTTATCCAGTGGTTCATTCTCTAAATGGCTGCCAACAGCTAGGCCTTGTCCAGGGAGGAACCAAGAGCTTGCTTGAACCAGGTCTCTCATGCAATTGCAGGGCCCTGGGACATAGGCTGTTTCCCTCTGCTTTCCTAGGTGCCTGAGCAGGTAGCTGGATGGGAAGTGGAGCAGCTGGGACGCAGCCTAGCACCTGTATGGCATGCTGGCACCACAGGTTGCAGCTTAACAGCCGTAGCATGGTGCTGCCCCAGCAATTAACTTCTAACATGAGATTTCAATGATGCTCCAATCATAGTAATAATACTCCTGAAATTCTTTGCATGTCTGTATCAATGGCTGTGTCCTTCTTTTATTCTTGATATCACTCATTTGGCTCTTCACACACACACATTTGGCTCTTCACACACACACACACACACACACACACACACACACATACACACTTTTCTTTGTTCTTCCATCTCTTCTCTCTGCTGCTCTTGCTTGTTGATCAGTCTACCTAGAAACAGAAGTTCATTGATTTTACAAGAAAAAAATATCCTCTCACTTTATTGATTTTCTCTGTGATACATCTGTTTTCTATTCCATTTACTTATGCTGTTTATTCTTTGAGTTTACTTTAACTTCCTTGTTGTTAATAATAACTGAATTAAAAAGCATAAATAACTGAATTTGACTTTTTTTTTTTAATTTAAAGATTATCTATCGTTTTGAACGTCAGAGTTGCAGAGGGAGAGACAGTTTTCTTCCGTCTGCTAGTTCACTCTCTGAATGGACACAGGGCTGGAGCTGTGTTGGTGTGAAGCCAGGAGTTTCTAAGAGTCTCCTATGGAAATGCGGGGCCCCAAGCACTTGGGCCATTTTCTATTGCTTTTCCAAGCCCTTAGCAGGGATCTGTTTGGAAAGTTGGAACAGCCAGAACTCGAACCAGCACCCATAGAGGGTATGGACAGTGGATTTACCTACTAAGTGACAGCACTGATCCTGACCTTGATTTGTGATATAAGCATTTTAAACTGTGAATTTTCTTTTAAGTAGTGCTCTAATGACGTTCCACAAAATGTTACATTTAGTCTTTTCAACTCAAAATATTTTTAGTGTTTACCCAGGTTTTTTTTTTCCCTGGGTAATTATTCAGAAGTATGCTATTTAGGTTCCAAATATTTGGTCTTTTCCCAAATATACTGAGACTGATGGCCCAGCCTGTAGTTGTCTGGACAAGTGTTCCATGCACGTTTGAGGATAGCCTGTATTCTGTTGCAGTTAGATGGGGTATCCCAGAAGTGACTTCGGTCAAGCAGATCCTTGCTGATGGTGCAGTCTTTAGTGTCCTTACTGATTCTGTGACTTCTGTCGGCTCTTGGGAGAGAGGAGCAGTGTTGCTGTCTTATTTACTGTTAATTTGCGTATTTTTCCTTTGGTTGTGTCAGTTAGTATTTCTAGGAAACTCTATTAACAAATTTTTAAGATTTATTTACTTACTTAAAAGAGTTGCAGAGTGAGATTTTTCATCTGTTGATTCACTCCCCAGATGACCACATCAACCTACTCTGAGGCCAAAGTCAGGAGACAGGAGCTTCATTCACATGGGTGGCAGTGGTTCTGACACTCTAGCCATCTTCTGCTGCTTTCCTAGGCACATTAGCAGGGAGCTGAATGGGAAATGGAATAGCTGAGTATCAGATCAGTGGCCATATGGGATGCTGGAGTAGCAATAAGCAGCTGTGCCAGTATATAAGCCCCCTTTCATTCATTTTTATAAAAGATTTTCTTATCCATTTTTATTTCTTTGAAAGAGTGACAAAGAAGAGTGCAATTAAGATGTATGTGTGTGTGTACAATTGTTTTATATATCATATTATAGATGAAGAGAGAGGTAGATGTTCCATCTACCTGTCTATTCCCCCAATGACCAAAACAGCCAGGGCTGGATCTTCCTGACTCCTGGTGCCAAGAACTCCTGTCTGGATATCCCTTGTGGGTAGCTTTCACAGGTCCATCAACAGGATGCTGGAGAGGGCATGGAATAGCAAGGACCCACACCAATGCCCCAGCATGGGATGCTGTTGTCATAAGCAGTGGCCTAACTCACCATGCCGTACCACTGATCTTTCATTGACTTTTTAAAGATTTATTTTTTATTATTTTTTTTATTGGAAAGGCGGATATACAGAGAGGAGAGACAGAGAGGAAGATCTTCCGTCCGATGATTCACTCCCCAAGTGAGCGCAACGGGCCGATACTATGCCGATCCGAAGCCAGGAGCCTCTTCTGGGTCTCCCACGCTGGTGCAGGGTCCCAAAGCTTTGGGCCGTCCTCGACTGCTTTCCTGGGCCACAGGCAGGAAGCTGGAAGGGAAGCGGGGCTGCCGGGATTAGAACCGGCGCCCATATGGGATCCCGGGCATGCAAGGCGAGGACCTTTAACCACTTGCGCCACCGCGCCGGGCCCTTCATTGACTTTTGATGTGAAATTTCATAGATATATTCCCTTTATTATCTTAAGGAGAAAGGGCCTATATTTGTTTGTTATCTCAATATTATGATTAAATGTGTAACAGATGTGTTTTTAGTGTTTAAGATTGATGCTTAGACTATCCAGATAGTGTTAATAAAATAAATAAAACCATGAATCCTGAAAATATAGTGAAGTAAAAAATGATACAGTTTAAAGAAAGAAAAGTATGTGACTATACATAAAATGATCACAGTGACCTGAGCTGGGCTTCTTGATATTCACAGTTTTGGAAAGGAACTTTGGGATCAGGGTTGTCTAACGTATGGGAAGAATAAGAGAAAAAGAAACTCAGTTCAACTATTTTGGGGAAACAGTCTGATTTGTGTGTTCTCTTTTGTGAATATTTTTTTTGGCTGTCAATTATTCGTAGGGAAAGATGCTTCTAAATGCTTTATTTTAAAAAGAAGTTTAAATTTATTTTTACTTTATTGGAAAGGGTGAGAGAGAAGTTGTCCGTTTGTTAGTTCACTCTCCCAGTTGGTTGCAAGAGCAAAGGTTGTACCAGGCCAAAACAAGGAGCTCAGAACTTGATCTGAATCTCCCATGTGTGTCCCTTGGACCCAAGTAACAGTAGTCCCCTGCTGCCTCCCACGATGTCCATTAGTAAGGAGCTGGTTCAAGAAGTAGAGAATTTGGTGCTCAAACCTATACTCCAGTGGGTGATGGGGGTGTCCCAAGTGGCATCCTAACGGCTGAGCCAAGCTCCTCTTCCTCTGTATCCTTACTGTTGAACTTGGTCTGTCTACCACTCAGATATTCCAGCAGAGTACACAAAGGTTTTTAGGCACTAGGCCACCACGCTGGGTCTGGTGCAGATTTTTAACTAAGGCTTTCTCATTTCTTCAAACCAGTGTCAATTCATAGAAATCATTTTTCATCAAGTCAAAATAAAAGTCAAAATGTCCTCAATGAAACTTATAGAAACCAAATGGGAAATTTCTGAGCTGAATTAAAGCATATTCTGTGCTTGGAAAGTTACCCATGAAAACTTCAAGCAGCCTTGTTCATGTTTGTTCAGCTTTTATCGTGTGCCAGTTAAAAAATAGTTGCTTTTAATCTTATGGTGTACCTGTTTAAAATTCCATCCTGTGTGCTGAAAAAATATACAGAGGCTAAGATCTGATTATTAAACTTTTTTGATTACTGCTTCCAGCTTCAAGTATAGGGTTAACCAGTTCAGCCCTAGTAGACTTCCTATTTGAAATGTTGTATTAATTTACAGACAGGGTTACTGTATTTTAATTTAATCAAGGTAATATTGAGAGATCACTCTGCTCAGTCGTACTTATAGTGTATTTTCTTTTATAGCTTTTAAGTGTCCAGTAAGTCAACAAGAATAAAAGCAAATATAAGCAAGGAAATCATTACTATCCCAACTTTATTGTAGTGGAAAGTTATTTTGTAAACAGAGTTAATTTCTTGGCCAGAAACCAAGAGGCACTCTGGCTCGGAGTGGAATGCAGTTTCACCATAGGCCAGGCCTAGGGATGTGGTGAGAGGCGTCTGCAAGGTGTTGCAGCACTGCTGAGAACTTGGCTGGGGATTGCAGGCCTGGTAGTGTTGCCTGTCACTGCTGCTTGCTTCTGTCTCCTAGGAGTCTCAGCAGATGCTTGGAAGACTTATTCCAGAGAAGCAGATACTCAACGACCAGTTAAAACAGGTTCAGCAAAACAGTTTGCACAGTAGGTGTTTTATTATTATTATTATTTTTAAAAAATTGTTTTTTTCCATCTCATCTGACCAAAATTGCCTCTGTGAAAAGAAAATGCTGAAAAGTATTTTCCTCACTGTCGGATTTTCCTTCTCTTGCATTGTTTCTCTAAATTAGGGGATTCACTTGTTACACTCAAAAGAGCCTTAGAAGCAAAAGAACTAACTCGGCAGCAACTACGAGAGCAACTGGATGAAGTGGAGAAAGAAACTAGATCAAAACTACAGGAGATTGATATTTTCAATAACCAGCTGAAGGTAACTTCCATATATGCCTACGTATTTGTGCTACCTTTACTTTCTCAGTGTCCGGCAGAAAAATTTATTATGCTGGTTTGCCAACCTTTGTGACAGTCTTCAATATTTGTAAAGGAGCATGAGGCAATCTAAATGACATTTTTCTCCTTTAAAATATAAGGCATAAATTGGACATCTTATCAATTTGGGTGATGTGAGTAGCTCCAACGAAACACCCGTCTTTAATCTCAGCTGTATCTTTGCATCTCCCTCCTTTTCCGTTTGTAATCACAGCAGGGTGAATCGGGTCTGAAGAGCTCATCTTCCCTGTGTTCTTTAACAGTCGCTGGAAGGAGTTGTTTTCTCGCTCAAACTAAGAATTTTTCTGCCAGTTCCTATCTTCAAGATTGTGTCTGTTTGAATACCCGTGTTTTGTTTTCACACGTTTCGGAATTGTACTGTTTTGTGAGGTGATCGTTTTGTGTGACAGAAGTGTTATACAGTTTTGTCAGATTCAGGGAACTACTGGCGTTCAGAGGGAGTGTATAATGGGCAGGTCACACAGCCTGTTTTCCTTTCGGTATTTTTCATTTAACTTTACAATTTTGTCATCTGAAGAACGTTAGTGCTTATGTTCTATAAAAGAATGCCAATACAATAATAATTTAAAAAAAAAAGAATTCCAATAGCTCATTTGTTAAGAATACTGATCATGGAGCAGTTTAGATTTAACTAGCATTAAAGGTTTAAAAGTCAATTTCATTCTTGCAAGAAATTGAGTATCTTATTCCCTTCCAAGTATTTGTTTGCTTCTTTTATATTTTCTTAAATTAAATTTTGCGTCTTACTTTGTTTATCCCACTTACTGATTTAAAAGGAAAAGAGACAGACAGATCTCCTAAATGCTGATTTGATTTCCTTTGTGCGTGCCCTGAACAGCCTGGGGAGGAGCCGTACCATTGCCAGGATCCCATTGCTCAGATGTCTACAACAGGCAGGGTAGGGCTGAAGCCAGGAGTCGGCCACCGGCTCTCCCATGTGGGCGGCAGGGGACCAGATCCTGGGGCTGTCTTCTGCTGCTCTCCCAGGAGTAATAGAGAGCTGGGTCAGAATTGAAGCAGCTAGGACTTAAACTGGTGCTCATCGGATGCTGGTTGGCTTAACTGACACTGACCCACCAAGCACTTAACCCTGACTTAAACTTCTTTTATCCTTGACAATACCAAATTTAGCTTTTGACACTAAAGACAAATGAAAACTCCTGTTGTTGTTTTAAATAAAAAGAGGAGGCCTTTTGAGATTTTTGAGATTTTCAGTGTGCTGTTAGGTGAGATTCCAGGCCAGGTTGTCTAGACATCTGAGGTTGAGGTCTTTGTGCTGTTCTTTTGGAGTATTAAGTAATGAAGTCTTCTCAGTTGTGTAATTCCAGGAAAATGCTCTGAGGGGAAGTACTATTTGGGCCAACTTAATGTTATTCTTCACTTTGCTTTTATGCGTTCCCAGTGTATGTGTGTCTGCTGTGTATGTTCACTTTAATGTGTGTGTGTGTAGGTGTGATAGGTCAGGATCGTATGTACTGCTGTTAATTCTCCATCTCTACAATAAGTGTAGTAAGAATACCCACAGTGTGTCCTGTCAGTGTTTTAAGCAAAAGAATGTTAACACTGTTGCCAGCGTTTCATCATTTCCCGAAAGATGTACCATGAAACATTCACATATATATTGCACTCAGGTAACATTGAAACATTTTCTGCCTTCAAAATTAAGGTTGCTTTTTCTAGAAATTTGACTCATCACCCAAGGATAAGGTATTAGAAAAGTATACTTTCATGGAAGAGTTTTGATGAGTGCCAAATTTCAGGATTGGATTATTTTGGCAGTTGGATTGCTGTTAACTGTTGCTAAAGCAAACACACTTGAAATGTGCTGGGAGTTGTTCTTACCAGGCTTGATGGACTAATCTTGCCTTCTGCATCAGCTGGCTGCTTGTGTGAATATGAGCACTGAGTATGTCCTTGGTCGAGTAAGTGTAATTTTGGATTAATACTGGGGAGTTTAAAAAAGGAGAACAAGCTAGTGTGGCTGTTTCAGGGTGGTTTATAAGGGATGAAATATTAAAGTTTATTTTGGCACAAAACTTTTTTCTAAATCCATAACATAGTTTTGTCATGAGTACATTAAAAAAAAAAATGTTTCTTTATCTGAAAGAGTTATAGAGAGAGAAAGAAACAAAGAGAAAGATCTGCTGATTCATTCCCAAAATAGACTCAAAAGTTTTTGACTAGGCCAGTTCAGAGGCAGGAGTTTTATCTGGATTTCCCATATGAATGCAAATACTTGAGCTATCCTCTGCTGCTTTCCCAGGCACATTAGCAGGGAGCTGGGTCAGAAATGAACTGACACCCATATGGGATGCTGATGGCCTAGAGAGCAACCTAGCTTGCTGCACCACAGGACCACCCTCCCATTTCATGAATTTATTTAAGACCTTTTGAATGCCTGGATTTCAAATTTTTCTCCATCAAAATAAATTTGTCTTTTAATTCCATTTCCATGAACATTCACCCCTTTTTTCCCCCTGATTTGATTTAAAAGAGGCAGACTAACAGAGAGATATTTCACTTGCTGCTTTACTTGCCAAAATGCTCATTACAGCTATAGATAGATTGTTCCAAAACCAGGATCCTAGAACTCATGTGTGTCATGGGGGCCTCCACTCCCTGCCGTGACTGCTGCCTGCCAGGATATCCATTCGCAGGGAGCTGGAGGTAGCGTAGTCAGGGCTGGTACCTAGGCACTCCAAGAGCAAGGCAGATGTAAACGTTCCAAGATGTGTCTTAACTTCTTCACCAAATACTGTGAAGAATTTTGTGGTTTTTTGCTTTTTTTTCCCCCTCATCAAAAAGAATTAATTTTTTCTACTCAATATCTAACAGTCTAAGAAGAGATACTTGTCATTAATTAAATGTAGAAGAATTACTTTTGTGGTCATGTTCATAGGTATTTGTGTTGTAGAGGAAGCGATGCACTGAATATATGACACATACTTGTATCTGTGGCCGACCGATGCCAGTTGGCTCCAGATTCAGTTCTGGGTCAAGAGTCTGTTGCCCTAAACTTCCCTCTGACTGCAAAGAAATTGAGGGTTCATTCTTTACAGGAAGGCTATTTTTCCATGCATTTGAGTAGATTAATGTTAAAGGTGTGTTGATAAACTCCAGGAAAGGGTCCAAGAATATCTTTATGATCTGTCACTCCAAATAAAGAATTGCTTGTGAAAGAAATTCTGAATCCTGTAGCAGCTAATAAACGCAGTAAGAACAAACTTAAAGACTGTGATGGGAACTGATAGCAGTCATGCTTGAAGCTCACGTGCTGGATATTCGCTAAGGATCAAATGAACAAGTCAGTCAGCGATTAACGGGTGGCAGTTGGTCTTGTTAGTGACTGTGAGTGTGAATTACCACTGGAAAGCATGTGTAATGGATCAAATTTATTGACCAAATGTTGCTGCTTTTCAAATACATTCTGTATGCAGCAAGGGGTTTTTTTTTTTCATGTTAAAAAATCAGCAGTATTCTGGATTTGTGCTCCAGAAACACGAATTTGAAGTTTCTGATGAACTATGATCTTCTCTATACCTCAACGTACAGTAAAACCAAAGCCTTCTGGGAGTCCCATTGCACTTACCCACGGGTCTAAAATTATGGTCCTGACATGTGCCAAATCACATTGCTGAGAAGAATGCTTTGGAGAGTAGTCGTGCCTTTGCCTGCCCTGTCAGTGTTAGTAATTACTGCAGCCTGACAGCCTGATCTGACATACCCTGCCTGCATGGAGCTATAACAGTGGTATAAAGACGATTTCTAGTTTACACAGCTCTACTACTGCATGCCAAGCCAGGAGAATCCACTACAACACAGAGGTTGGGTTTTCTGTTTTGTGTTAAAATGTTGAGTCCTTGTTGGTTCCTGTCTCGTGTCTGTGTGCTGGACAAGTGCTCACACATACGACCATTTACATTTGAGTGTTTCTCTCTTCCAGTCAGTGACAGTGGAGGAGGCAGTGTGGCAGTGCCTGGCAGTTCTCCTGGGCTGTGTCATCCACTTAGACTTCTTTCTAAAGGTCTCCATGCCCTACTCTGGCCATGCACGTCTCTCAGACTAAGAATGGTGAACCTGCTGCAGCTCTGGGCCACAGGTTTCCCTACGCAAATGAGTGCTCAGTGCCTAAAATAGCATTTACCAGGAAGTACTGACTAAGCCTTCTTCGTGCATGTTGACAGCCATTAGTAACTAGTAACTATTAATCATGGAGTATGATTGAGCCTGCCCTCTTGACATATCGTGTGTGTGACGCTGTAAGCTTTGAATAACAAGACAAACAAGGTGCTGTCTACTTGTCTCTTGTAGCAAGCATTTTAGGTCAACGAATTTTCCACTTTTCTGAGAAAATCTGAACGAGCACTCAGTTCTTCCTTGGCTCCGTGTGTTTATTCTACCACAGAGGAGACAGTATGATGGTCAGTGTACTCTTCCAAAAAACAGTGTTTTTATTCCTCTGCACATTGGAGTATTGAGAACATATCCCTTCAGTGTGTTTGGGAAGTCCAAGCGCCTTAAAACACAAGGGTTTCTTAGAAATGTCAGTTCTGTCTGTGGTGATGATACCTGTTCCTCCCAGGCAAGGGATTGATATGGAAATGAGCATGCCAGTTACAGTCAATTACATTGTTTGCTTAATTGAGGCTTTTATGCTTGTTGCTTCGTACTGTTGCTTTTGTGGCAGGCCCATTCTTTATGAGGGCAGTGAAAGGCAAAATGTTTAACAACCAGGGGAAAAAGAAAAGAGCTTGAGAAAGAATGGGGAACAGAATGTGAATTCAGGAAGAAAATGCATGCAAAGGGAGACAATGGTAGACAGAAAAAGATCCCGGGGAAGATATGCAGAGACTGCAATAAAAAGCAGCCTGCATTCATACCGCAGTATTGCTTTAAGGCAGCAAATAGAATAATGTTTGA